TGTGCTCTTTCTTGGGAAGAAGATCTCATAAATCGGAACTTTGGCAGTGCTATAAATGCTCTATTAAAGCAAAGGTTCAGGAACTGTTTCGCTGGAAAAAACCACCAATAATGAAGTTGTAGATGAAAACCAGACGATTAATGTATGAAAAACTGGAAAAAAACGTCGAGGAGGGTCCTAGACAGGTACTCTCCCTCTGCCGCTCAGCAATGGATAAAGACGCACGTTGGACGAGGTGTCTGAACGTGCCCGCTGTAAACGCGCTCCATTTTTCAATCAATTTTCCCTGTGGTCCCAAAACGAGCACGATTGCCGACGCGTCCAATGACGGCCGGCAAGGGGGCGGGATTGGGGAAATCCCCAAGAACACCCATGTTTGAGGGACTTTCCACCCTGTTTTTGAGTTTCTGAGGTAAGTTCGTTTATTATTTCCACTGCATATGTTCTTCACTAGGGCTCGTGTATCCCTCAGTAGTAGTGGCATTGAAATTTTCGGACCCTCCCTGGACTGTTGCTTTAACGAAGGCTAAATATCCGCAAATCTCCTACCCCTGACGGCATCAACTTCTCAATTCGTTCAAACGCTCCACGTCAGCCAATGTTTATTTGAATGCTTCTGCACCAAATGCTGCTTACTGCCTTGTTATTGTTACGAGCTTAAAACAAACATGGAAGGAATCGATTGCGCCTTGGTATTCTGTCGAATTTGTACATATGTATCGGGATGAGCACCTACGTGGTTTTTTATAGTCACATAATTTTGCTAACAATTTGATAACTAACTAAAAATTACAGCACTTTTTTGACTAATTTTTTTAAATACGCAATTTCTCCATCAATTCCTATTGTATGGATGAAAGAAGGATAATGGTTCCGACGATCATCTACAACTTTGTAATGTGCCAAGCATTCTACTTCTACATGCTGTGTCGTAGTGCACTTAAAAGCACAGCTCAGGACTAGGTCACTGGACTGAAGCTTAGCACGAAAAACTCGAGCGATCGACGAGCGTACAAGTCGTACCGACTTCGGGGTAGATTGTTGTCAAGGACGGACGTTAACCCAGAATAAAGTGGCTGCTAACGGGCTATTTTAAGATGCTTGTAACGTAGAAGTGCAGGTCCATCCGGTAATGCTTGGAACCTCTTTTAGAGTGCCCAGGAGCCCTATCTGCAAAATTCTGTCCTAAAATCCTCTCAGGTGAGGCGTGTCTCAGTGACAGGCAGTTTAGCGTTGCACAGCCGCGAAACGCGGAAGAAGGGCTCGTTGGCGGAGGAACTAGCAACGATGGACGAAGTATGAAACAGGATGAAGAGACGTAGGCGATGCTCGTTTTGCCTGCCTAACTGTTTATAGGGGACTTTTCACTGCGCTCACGGGCTCGAAAGCCTAAAGGGTCAATGTGGTGGGTAAGGAAGTAGCGTCAGAAGGTTTACGGGTTGGGGGGGGGGGAATATGAAGGACATTGGAACTCAGAGCGACGAAGAGAACGACATTGCATAGCAGTGGATGGCTTACTCACTCCGAATAACTCCGAAGGGAAGAAAGACTTGGTTGGCCCAAGTGAGTTTCCAATCGGGCTGGTCCACTCATGCATGCGGTGTGCGGCACCATATTTTATTAATTCCTAAGTAGTTTGGCTAGAGCATTTTAGCTGCATTAGATTTTGGACTCAAACTGTTGCGCATGATGTACCAATAATTTTTTCTTTACTCACGTTTGAGTCTCATTTGGAAGGAACACATATGTGATACATCCACATGCGCGAATCGTGACTTTGACTTGTCAGCGGGTCTTTCATCAAAATTATCAGAAATGATTTTAAAAAAGTCTTTAACCAGAAACACTTCTGAGATCGCTTAATTCAATATTGTCTTTATTCTCTATTCACAGGTATGGAATCAAATACGACTATGGAAGCATAATGCACTATAACGCCTACATGGGAGCACTGAACATCGCGAAACCGACCATAATACCTAAGGTGTGTCATTTTGCATTTAGGCGAACACCCTGCTTCAGAATTGTGGCTTCAGGGCTGGGTGCGGAAGGCCCGACCGAGTGCAATAAGGTCTGGCTGAGTGCACTAAGGCTCGGCCTAGTGCTGCAAGTAACGGCCGGTAATGGTTCCTCAAAACTCCGCATCTCTGGACGGTTCCCCCATTCCTGACCATCAGAACGGCGTCCACGACCGGAAGAGAGACACAGTTTTTAGATAAATCCCCGGCGGGCCCTGCTGCACTCCGCCCCTGACGGGTAATGTTGCATTCCGGATCCACAACACAGCCAGATGGCGAGAATCCCGCATCTGGTGAAGTAGTGGCCCAATTTATCGCGATATTGGGACGGTGCCAAAAATACTCGTCGTGGTTCCGTGCGCCCAATACTCACCGCGTTTGTCTAACACCCTTTGAAGCGCTCAAAATGCTGTTGTCGGTTGCATTCTATAACGTAGATAATGGCCACCGCCGTTGGGTTCTTACTGAATAGCGGCATAACTCGTTAAAAAAAGCTGCGACACTAATAGCACATGTTTGCCAGGGCAATAAATCTCGTCCGCTTCTGCGCAGAGAGTATCTGGTCGAGTTATACCGGCCAGAAGTTCCGATTTTATTCCGGATATCCCATATAAATTGCTAATACTCAGCACATACAAAGTGATAGCTTGCTGCTTTTGAATGCACTTTACAGGAATACGCCCGGTGGATTGATACCCTCGGTTCACGATAGAGCTAGTTTTCCACAGAAGTATAGGATATTTTCGAGACATCAGGACTAGGGTCTTGATATGAACGCCCTTGACCACCAATTCTTTTGAACCCGGTGCAGCGGTCTATCCAGCTTGGAATGTCTGCCGTCTCGCGCCTACTATGCTCTCTCCCTTCCCCGTATGTTCTCTCTTCTCGTCCCACATTCTCTTCCAGATCACCTTTTTCTATCCATCTTATAGGCATCCCAACTACTTGAGAATAAACCAACATTTTCAGTGTATCTGGTGGTTTCTTCCCTCTTTTCACTGTCAGTCCGCTTAACACCTTGTTTTCATTTTCTTGAGCAACAATAACGCGTTTTTGATCGCTGGATTTGCCTTTAACAGCTTCCCGTAATAGTGGTAAATAGTGAATCTTCATTTCGGATTATTCGAAAAAAAGGATAAAGCATTTGCCGTTGATCAATCCCTTTTTGGGATGCGGCACGCATTCTACTTCCATTTGTACATTCGTAGTGGCGTTTGAATGCGATGTGGCCTATACAATGACTTGCGGGGGCCAGCCGATGTACAAGTCAGTGCAGACAAGTCTGGTACCAATTAACCGACCCCGGAGGGATGGAAGGCTTGGTTGGCCCGGGCGACTCACGACCCAGGATTTGATCCCCGGACCGCTCGCGTGGTGAGCGCGCCACTTGTCACTACACCACTTCCGCCCTAGATTATTAGCAGCGGTAAACGAATGCGTCATATTACAGGTAGATGAAGCTGTAAATATGGGAAAACTAGGTCAGCGAGAAAAGTTGAGCGATGCAGATGTCGAGATTCTTAACAAAATGTACTGCATGCCAGGTCAGTGATTTCCCTTCTGTTTTGTTTGGAGGTGGCTAATGTTGTTAATATTGCAGGTTGCGACGATACGAATGTTTACTGTGGCGCTTGGGCCCTGAAAGAATTGTGCAATCATCCAAATCACAAAGGTTGGATGGAAAAGAATTGTCAAAAGAGCTGTAACTTCTGTAATTTCCGCTGATGACTTTAAATTAATATATTTCGTAATAAAAATAATTGAGCTTGAAGACCTTGTGAACATTTGGAACTGATGCTCGAAATTATTCATGGAGCAGATTTGCGAATGAAAGGATATATGCAATTAGTAGTGGACGAAATGGGATACCAAGGGCCCATGTTCATGGAATATTCAAACTAATTTGTACTACCTGAAAAGTAGCCTAACCGCGACGCAAAGAGCCGGAGATGCAGAGGAATCGCTGGACGAGTTGTGCTCTCTACGCTCTCTACAGTTTATAATGTTTTCTACAGCCTATTTGAAACGACGCAGGGGTAGATAGGGAAATTCGCGCCGTGATTTCTCGCTGTCTCGACCACGCGGAAGACTTCTTGTCGGGTACTATTTGTGCCAGAGTTTGAAAACGACTTCACAACCATTTCATCTGGGTAGCCAATAATCGAGACAAGGAAATAAGGTTATCATCACGATAACTTACTAGGATGCCTTAGCATTGACCTGATGTGAGATTCAGGCTCTGATGCGCGCCACGATTGGCACCTACTGACCCAACACCCATTGAATTTCACTATTTAACGCCGCTATGCTGCAAAAATGGTGTACCGCACAAGAGAGCTTGGTTCCAAGATTAAGAGTACCGACGACTAATGGAACAGTTGCGCTAGAAGGCTTAGGCAATTAAAAAACTGTTCAGTTCAAGAGATTTTCTTGATGACAGGAATACGGAAGGCACACCCGGATCAGAGAAGTGAGGTAGCTGATTTGGGTGGATTAATGTGCAGAGCGCGCAAACTAGTCTGGCGTCATATACGATAAGTAGATGATCGCTTTTTTTACTGCTACGCTTTTTTGGAAACTTTTAAGAAAAATGCGATCACTTCCTAATCCGTATATTTCTCCAGTTCTCTTGGATCATTTTGAGGGCAGACCCCACAACAAATTCAGTTGGGTCTTTCAGGTGGAGGATAGCTGCCCAATAAAGTCAGTGTTTCCCTTGAGTTTAACTTCGATTGGATGAAACTTGTAGGAAGGGTTACATACTAGAGGCAAAAACCTCGACTGGTCTTTTGAAATAGCATCTTTTGTAACTAGGATTTCTGGGTCCGCAGTAGCAATGGGAGTGGCACCCTAATAGCTCGAAGCGTTTTGAGACCTTATGACTCAGAATCAAATCCCCTTGCAAGGCTGATTCACTATTTACTTAGTGCAGGATCGTTCATTCTTGCGAATGTGTTCAGTGTCTGCGTCACAGTTGTCCACTATGCTCTCTCGTCTGTTCGCTTGTTTCAGCGCGTCGTATACCATATGGTCTCCATTATCCGCGAAAGGCCCCTATTTTCAACTTTCCCTCAATGATGGATTTGCTCGCACCTCCGCTTCTGTTGTTGACCAACAACTCACCTATCAAAATAAGATGCTGTTTTAAAGGAGAGGTGGGAAAAAGAGCTTCATAAAAAGCCCGGACTTTACGACAGAAACGTTTGTTGGAATGGTGCAGCGGTAAAATTTCCTGGTTCAACTGGTTCAATGTACCTTTTCGTGAGAAATACACTCTTATCTGTAATTCACTATGAATATTTATGCACATCTGATGAAAACAGGAAAACAGAACAAAATCCTTTACAGCTATCACGTACAGAAATCCACCATGTTAATTACGAAGAAAAAGAAAAAATAAGATCATTATTATAACATTATTATATTGACTTTTCAGACAGATAGACTCGTAACACTTTGACAAAGAGGTAATTGAGCAGTGATTCTTAATATGAACACGTGATTGAAATCGTTTGCTTTTTTTTCTTGATTTCAATGCTATCGTCGCCGACGATGATGGTGGGCGATTATGGAGAAGGAGAGGAGATGGAGCGGATTGTACGTGTGTGAGTTAGACATCCTGATCGGCACATTGCCCTTGACGATTTAATTTCTAAAATGGAACAACATGTGAGAAGAGATGTTACTAAAAAGATAATAATGCTTACTATAGAAGTAGTAGTAGTAGTAGTTGAAAACTGAAATGGAAACACGTTCATCATCACACACGATTACTAGATAGATTGGGAACTAATAGAACACATCTAATAGATAGAGTAGATGTAAATCATCAACAGCTTGACCATGTGACAGTGATTTAGTGAACTTCAACCGGAACTAGTATTAGTACTAGTAATAACAGACGCTATCAGTTGAGCTTGAACTGACGTTCTTGCTCGTTTTCATCTAACTTTTGTGAAGCAAGAAAGCAAGAAAGCACTGGGTGTTCGTCAATTTCGTTTTGAGGTGCGCTAATCTTCGTCTATTCAGAATCGTAGTGACGACTTGTATGCGATTTGGCCTACAAAATGAGTTTGGGGCAGCCGATGTACAAGGCGGTGATTTCATCCTGTCAAACAAGAACGACACCGGAGGGATAGAGGGTTCGCTGGGCACCCGACAGGAGCCCATCGCGCGGCAAGAAGGCAGAGTTAGCGGACGAGTCGCAGCGCGTGATGTGCGATGTAGGACGTACAATGGTACATTCTATTTAACTTGACGCGAAATCACTACAGTACGCGCTGCGACTCGTCCGCTGACTCTGCCTTCTTGCCGCGCGACGGGCCTCCTGTCGGGTACCCGGGTTCGCTTGGCCCGAAGACGCACGACCCAGGATTTCGTCCGCGGACCGCGCGCATGGTAAACAACCCCACTTACAACGACACCACTTGCGCCCCCCAACTTTTATAAAAGCCACCTTAAATGCACTTTTATAGAGCTGCACTCAACGATATCATCTTTGTCGCCATAGCGCTATATGATTCAGCACCACCTTCTTATTATTATTATTCTTTGGCGTTTGTCGCGCTTGTTGGCGTGGTTCGCTTTACCATTCAGCAATAGCTGGCACTTTGCAATTTCATTCCCGTTTGCAGTATGCTTGGCTAACCTCGGCTACACATGCTTTAGCCCCTGTAGGAATGAACGTTGTCCTAGCATCGACTGCAGCTAATGAGCTATCGAAGTGTACAGCCGAGTTAACATTGTCCCCATTGTTTGACCAGATAAAGTTAGAAAATACTGTCACGAAAATCTAGGTAAGTTGAGCGTAGGTAGACTGGTTGGTAAGCACATGCAGGAAAAGGTAAGGTAAACACAGGGTACACTACGCTCCACGATTCTATTTACATTGACTGGAATAGGACTATCGTAGATAAAGGGGGGGGGGGTGCGGGATAGTGGGGAAAACAGAAATATGGGTGATACAAAAAACTTGCTGTATCAGCAGCAGAGCAGTTACATATTCCCTTACTCCCACCCCGCCACCACGCCTCCATGGCTCGACGCCAATTCGCAACTTTGTAGTTTTAGGGCAGCGTTTGACCGTGGAACGTATATTATAACCAAGAGCACTATTTATACCAAGTGCTACTGGAAAGTGAAGAGGGTCGTAATCATTATAAAGGAGGGGGTTTGGTGATACTGGCCGAAATTTGCTTGATGCTGCACTTGGCACTTCGGTATACACAGAAGTGATAGATTCGCTTGCTATCAGTATAAGTACAAGTTCCCGGAAAGGCGTCTAGCGCACATTGGGAGATGTTCCACGGGCCGTATCCCATCCATTCTCCAGGCTAGGAGAACAAGAGAGTCCTTTGAATTTATCCGTTTCCAAAGACCAACTTCCTTTACTTCCCGCACATGCTTGCTTTTACACACATATTTACATGCACTCCACTCCCTCAGGGCAGTTTTAGTTGAGAAGACAAAAAATTTTAAGGGATTTGATTTTTTCTTCCCCTAGCCTGGAGGAAGGATAGGATACGGCTCCAGGTTAAACATTCGAGGCTACTGTTAGTAAGAGACTAGAAAATATTCAAAACATGGGCTCATTACACTTGTACTCAAAAAAGTAGCGAAGCCTCAAAAGAATCGTAGCTGGATACTTTCTGTACTTTCGGCATGTCTGTGATCTAAGCTAGACAACTTCAGCAAATGGAGCAACAGGCGATTGCTGCTGCTGCAGCGCAGCAGCAACCAATCATGGCGCAGGCTGTTGGCGTTAAATGAGATAGTGTGCAGGCTGAGGAGGCGGAGGATGGCAGGGAAGGTCAATAAGGCGGTAATAGCCAGGAAGCACAGCAGGACAAATTCTGGGATGATAAAAGCACAAATTTCAATCAAGCCAAAACTGTCGCCATGAACAGCCCACAGGCCGGAGATCCCTAGTCACATGGTCTAGGCTGAGCTGCTGATTTAGGATAAACACACAATCTAACACGTAAAGAGGATAATCATACATTTAAAAGCATGTTGGTCGACCGCTTCTGATGCACAGCACTGGGTGTATTCCGTTTCTGCCGCGATCGTGTACAGCACGTGTTGCCAAGGGCATTACGACGAATAACACAGTAATCCAGTAGCAGGACAGCAATTATGAGCAGAAAGCAGGCAGCGAATAGCCAAACAGCCCATGCCGGAACCTGAACGAACAATGGATTTGAAAAACGCAATTCAGTCGGCTCAATATCCCTTCGTTCTTATTTCTCAATGCAAACCGTGAAAAACAAATTTGCCACCATTTATATTTACCACTGGAAACAATTTCAACGAGTTCGCTAGGTTCACTGGACCTCCTGGAGAAGAATTTGAAAGCTTCCCTTGATGTTTGAAACACTTAAATGCCCAACAGTGATCAATCGCTTTTAACGATAAACTTGCAGTAAGATTCATAAATATTTATCTTATATAATAGAGTCCGGGCGGAAGTGGTGCAGTGACATTTGGCCCCCGCAAGTCATTGTATAGGCCACATCGCATTCAAACGCCACTACGAATGTACAAATGGAAGTAGAATGCGTGCCGCATCCCAAAAAGGGATTGATCAACGGCAAATGCTTTATCCTTTTTATCCTTTATATAATGGAGTCCAGGTGTGGTCACTGGTGCGGTCACACTCTCTGATGTTTCCTAGTGACATTTGTTTCACCACACACCAGAAGTAAACAACACCAGAAGTTTAAGATATTATTGACTTGAAGCCACATCCCACGATCACAGTATTAGATTATTCCACCTAATAATGAGGTGTGCAAAGTCCAGCTCCAAGGGAGAAAAGCGAAAAGAAACTGTCAGAACCACTAGAATTGAAGGTATCCCTTTCAGGCATATGGGAGCGATGATGTAGGCGACAAGAGGGCAACTGGAAAAGCCGCGACGAGAGAAGTGACAGAGAGAATGACAGATTTGGCGAAAACCCAGACGCTGTCGCTTTGTACCGTTCGACCGTTAAGCAACAGTACATGCAGCTGCATGCATCTCGAGAAACTATTTCAGCACTAGCTACTAGAGCACATAGCTACAGTAAGCTTATAGAGATAGGGATGAAACTTTCGAAACTGTTGTAGTGAAATATCGCATCTAGGACCAATCGAAAGGCCGTAAGCCCACTTGAAACGTAGGCTGATGCCTTTTTCCCACTTCTCGAAAATGCGCCATAAGTAAAGCGCAGTGTGGTAAGTATTGTGGCTCGAATGTCGGATTCCGCTCTCTGCCTTGTCCGTGAGCGGCTGCGTCGGCCTCTGCTCTGCTCGCCTAGCTGCCTGTCTATTCGCCTGACGCTATTTATTCAGAATACCGAATTCTGGTTTCGCTTGATATTCTCATCCGTCTTACTTCTTCTCATCGGATTGTGATACTGCGCTGCACCCTAGTGGCAGGGGAATTTGACTTGAATTTTAATTGCCACCACTCGAGGTGATGTTTTCCTGTTGTCAGTTATCAATCAATAGTTATCGAGTCTGCCTTTGACCTTCGATCGCCTCAGTCAAACTTTTCAATTTTGTGAGCTTTCCTGTGGCAGAAAGCGAAGAATTTCTTTTTCTCACTGCCACTTCATTAGGTGCCTTCTATCCATATTCTATTATGAGTGCCCTCCTTTCTGTCGTATCTAAATTTAAGGGCCGTAAACGAGGTCTGGTCGATATGGGTTCGCCCCAGAGTACCGAACAAGAAAAAGTGCTTTTGTCGGCGGTTGAGCAACTGATGTCAGATGAATCGATGCCACCGTATTTAAAAACGATTGTGGATTACCTCCTTGATGCTAAAGAAAAGATTGAACTTCTAGCTACCGAAAACAAAGAGCTATCGGCTGAAATTCAAAAATTGCGTGATGAGAACTCTACTTTGCGTCGTTCATTATCTGTGGCCTCCAAACCTCCTCCTCATATTGATCTCACAAATCCTACACAGGTTTCTGAGGCTGTTAATCATTCCTCTGATAGTTCTTGTTGTGAATCTAAAGAATTTGCTCGATCTCTAGTGATTATCGGTGTTCCTGAGTCTTCTGATTTTTTGGTTTCGAATCGACTTTCTCATGACTGGAATTGTATTAGAGTGCTTTTTAACTACCTCCAAATTGAATGTATTCCTTTGTCGGTCTACAGAATGGGTAGACCATCTCCTCATCGACCTCGGCTCTTGAAAGTAGTCCTTCCTAGCACAAAGTTTAGAGACGAAGCCCTTCGCCGTGCCCATAAAC